GGCGTAATTCACCATATTGTCATTCTGCATTTTTCAGCTTTCGCATTTTCAAATACCACATTGATGGACCTTCAGGGTGATACTTAATCTCTAATGCTGTATTGTGTTGTTATACTACACAATACAACATTAGAGATTAAAGCCTATCAATACACAAGATATATTTACATTACACAACAATGAAATAACTATAGAAATCGCAGCTTGTTCCATTAACATTACAGGAGAATGTAGGACAATACTAAAATATGAAATCTAAAATAACTACATATTTTCCTGTTTAAGCAGACAAGCTTAATTATAAGAAGTTGCATTTCTTTCTGACATGAAATGAAATATAAATCCATGCCATCACAGTTAGTAGCTGTTCTGTGTATTAAAATAGAGTTATACATTTATAATGCTTAATGGTGAGTTTTTAAACTCAAGTTCCTTGTATTTAAGACCAGTCTAAGCTGTTATAAGAACTAATTGAAAGCTACATATTTCTGAGTTGGGAAGGGTCAGCAAAACCATGTATTTCTGTGTTTACTGGGGAAAAAAACTAAGATTTTAAAAGCTGAACATTCCACTTCCTCTCGGCAGCCTTGTTCATTTTCTTGTCCTTTTTTTTTTTCTTACAATCTATGTCAAGTCTGACTTCCTGCTGCAATTCAGTTCAATTCAGTTTTATTTATACAACACCAAATCACAACAGTCGACTGAAGGCACTTAATATTGTAAGGTAGACCCTACAATAATAAAACAGTGAAAACCCCAGCAATCATATGAACCCTTATGAGCAAACACTTTGGCAACAGTGGGAAGGAAAAACTCCCTTTTAGCCTCCAGCAGAACCAGGCTCAGGGAGGGGCGGGGCCATCTGTCACTACTGGTTGGGGTGAGAGAAGGAAGACAGGATAAAGACATGCTGTGGAAGAGAGACAGAGATTAATAACAAGTATGATTCAGTGCAGAGAGGTCTATTAACACATAGTGAGTGAGAAAGGTGACTGAAGAAGAAACACTCAATGCATCATGGGAATCCCCCAGCAGCCTACACCTATTGCAGCATAACTAAGGGAGGATTCAGGGTCACCTGATCCAGCCCTAACTATATGCTTTAGCAAAAAGGAAAGTTTTAAGCCTAATCTTAAAAGTAGAGATAGTGTCTGTCTCCTGAATCCAAACTGGAAGCTGGTTCCACAGAAGAGGGGCCTGAAAACTGAAGGCTCTCCCTCCCATTCTACTTTTAAATACTCTAGGAACAACAAGTAGGCCTGCAGAGCGAGAGCGAAGTGCTCTAATAGGGTGATATGGTACTACAAGGTCATTAAGATAAGATGGGGCCTGATTATTTAAGACCTTGTATGTGAGGAGCAGGATTTTGAATTCAATTCTGGATTTAACAGGAAGCCAATGAAGGGAAGCCAAAACAGGAGAAATATGCTCTCTCTTTCTAGTCCCTGTCAGGACTCTTGCTGCAGCATTTTGGATTAGCTGAAGGCTTTTCAGCGAGTTTTTTGGACATCCTGATAATAATGAATTACAGTAGTCCAGCCTGGAAGTAATAAATGCATGAACTAGTTTTTCAGCGTCACTCTGAGACAGGATATTTCTAATTTTAGAGATGTTGCGCAAATGGAAGAACGCAGTCTTACATATTTGTTTAATATGTGCATTGAAGGACATTTCCTGGTCAGAAATTACCCCAATATTCCTCACAGTGTTACTGGAGGCCAAGGTAATGCCATCCAGAATCTGGTTACTGGCCTTAATTTGACACAGTGCTGCTGATCAAATGTCCAGCTTTTAAAATCTTAGTTTCTCTTTAATAATCCTCAAGCGCAAGTACAAATCGGTAATATTTCTTCAGCAGAAAGCTGTTTAGTTTAAAGAATTTGTAACACACAGGCACCTGATTAGTGTGTTCAATGCCATTTAATGTATCATCACAGCTTTATGATGAAAGAACACAGTTTTACAAGGCTCCATTAAGCAAAAGCTATAAGCACAGATTTTGGCAGCTCATTTCTTTTGCTTGAGCAATGAATGTCCTGGATGTTCAATCACTTGTAACACAACATTGAATTTTGTTTCATAACACAGCTCTTCGATTTTCATGCATGAGTGAGAAGAAAAGAATCACATGGCTGCCCGAGAGGTCAAAAGCACAGACTGTAAATCCGTCACAAAAATACTTAATGCTCATTAAAAAGTACGAACAGTTACATGAATTTCAGTCAATTACCGTAAACACACTAAAACGCTGGCTTGGTCTTTAGAGCTCCACCACTGCTGTTGGATAAAAGTGAGCGCTGGGTCAAATCTCGAAAAACAAACAGTGCTATATGAATAATTAGAGCTCGTCCTCAGAGAGACGTAAACAGGGGGAGGCCTGCAGTAATCTGCCAGCGTGTTATTCCAGCACAGATGGTTGACCAGATGTGAAGGAGAATCAGCGAGTGTGTTTTCTGTGGCAGAAATTTAGCCTTCCCTCTGGTTACGAGTGCACATACAGTGTGTATGGGGTTGCACTGAACTGTTGAACGGTGTGGTCAGTTATGTGTGTCAGCTTGTAAATGCATGAATAATCAGACAGATTTCTTTATATCAAGAAAAACAGGTGAGATGTGTGAAAATTGTGTTGTTTACCACTGATTTTGTTTCTTTGAAAGTAGCACAATGCCTCAGGGATCCAGAACCCTCGTCATAGAATGTGCAATAAACACAGAATAAATTACAGTATCTATTTTAGCTACTAAAGTACGATTATGTTTAAACACGCAAAGTTTCAGGCATTTTTGCTAAAATGCAATCTAAAAAAACACTAATTGCCTGATGACTATTTAGCATTTTAAATGGATCTGTATGTGCAAATACTGACCTACACGGTTTTTAACAGAACAACACAGAAAAACTCAAACCAATTATATTTACCATCCCTGAACCAACATGACAATCCTGTACAAGTTGGTTGCCTTTAAAAACATTGTCCATGTTAGCTGGAAGGGAGCGTTATGTTGTGTTTATTTAAAACCACTTTCACTCAAAATACAGCACTTTTTTTTTTTTTTACAGTGTTAAACTCATATTAGAAAATGAATTTCCTGCCAGGCTGTCAGGTTCCACCAATTTATAGGCGTTGACACTAGTACATATTTTGCATGGTCTTATGCACATGGCTGCTGTAAGTTGTTAAAGTGTAATCACAGGTAATAAGAACTTACACTTGGGGTTGTTTTTCTGACAACAGTATCTACATAACATGGACAGCAGGCCAAATGTACAGTACATGACATGAGTGACTGCACTGATAGCGTAATACTGCTTAGGCTTTTTGCTGCATTTGGCTCAGGGCATGCCCTCTAATCAGGTTAAGTTATTAAGACCTCAAATGGGGACAGAAATAGGTCAAGAGGAGCTAAACACACAGACACACACGTGCGCACGCGCGTACACACACACACACACACAGAGGGAGTGAGCGAGAAAGAGAGAAAACGTGAGCGATGAAGCCCGTCAGAGAGAGCGTCACTTTGCTTCAGTGTATCAGGAGCAGCGCGTGGCACTATGCATCCAGCAGAGCACCGATTTCTGTTATGTAAGATTTACTCACCAGAAACCTGGATTTTTTTGTGTTTATGGACAGAAGGCTGGGCATAAGGGATTTTTCTTTCAACCTGAAGCTTTTTAAGTGGAGGATACTTGTTATATTCTGAAACCTTAAAAAGAAAACCATTTTCATTTTGTGATTGCATTTTTGCAGCTAAGATGATGCTTACATGTTTTTATGGATAGACTGGTGTGGCTAGAAAACATATCAGCAAGCAGAAGAAAGAAGGAGCAGTGCTTTGTGGGTGATCTTTCATTCAGCTGTTTTTTTTTTCTGATGGTTGCTGGAGCATGAACATATAAGCCCTCAGGATCTGGACTTTGATTTAGATGCATAGCTCTGTTTCCTTCTTACTCTTTCGTCACTACATCTCTGCCTCAGGCCTGCTGCTGCTGCAGCTGTGCGTTTGCTGGTGGAGTGAAAGACTGTGTCAAGAGCAGCAACAAGAGGCTTTCTTTTCAGGGAATTATTCAAGCGGTCGTGAACCTCGGAGCAACAGCATCAGAAAAGGAAAAGTGTACAGGAGAGTAGAATTTCCTCAGGGAGTGGAGTAATTTATCTGTTTCCACTGTTAAACCTTTACATTTCTGCTGATCTCCTTATCTTCTTCTTTTTCAATTACCCCTGATTTCAATTTGTTGATCACACCCACAACCCTCTCTGGGAAGCCCAAACCTAATGAGGATTTTCTGTGCTTTTCACCTTATCACTCTGTCGTCTCTCCTGCTGTGTTATGCCCTACCTGTCTAATATACCTTCTGTCACACACATTTTGGGAATCTCTGCATCTATGCCAGTGAACCATTCTCCGTTACCTCTGGAGACCCAGCAGAGAAGAACAAACTGCAGCAGAGTTCAATAGAAACGGTGCAGACAGAGGAGGCATGGTCGCTCACCCAGGTGGAGGGTGTTAGGAGCGGAGGGTGACTGACGGTGGGTGATGGCTCCTCTGTGGAAAGTCATGCTGTCTAAAAGCAGCCCACTGTACAGAGACTCTCTGTTCTCTTTCTCCCTGTGGGAGTGGAAAGCTCAGGAGAGAGAGCTGTTGCTGCTGAAGAAACACACCGACAGGGAGAGGAGAGCAATGCTCACACAGCTCGACAAGTAAGACAGCACAAAAAAAGAAACATGTTATCAATTTGAAACAGTATAACAAGCTTCTGTTATTTCAGTTACAGTCATGTTTATGCATTAACTATATGAGCAAAGCATCTAGTTTGTTTAGAGTGAGGGAAACTGGCAGACTAGTGCTATCATAAGAGGTCAATTTGTTGTTCTGGGTGTTTGCCTTCATCCTCTGATGAATGTGCCCTTCACACTCACCAAATCTAATCCCAGATGATTGTTGTTGATGAGTTCTTCCATTCTTTCATTAGAGTTCAGCAGGCTTGGACAATCAGTGCTAAGATGGACCGAGGCTGTTCTAGCAGCTCTAGTCTTCCAGCACCTTACTAATCCACTTGGTTGGCTATTTCTTGAATTCGTCTGTAGTTTACCAAAGACAAAAAGGAACTTCAAAAAGGGTAACTTGTGGTTTTTGTAAAGTAATATTCATAATCTACACTGCTCAAAATAAGTAAAAGAATAATTTTCAATCAGAGTATAGCATCAAGTCAGTAAAACGTCTTGGATATTGTTTTGGTCAGTTATGTAGGAGGTGGTGTTGTTATTCAGTTTCAGTTGTTTTGGTGTTAATTAAATTAATAACATCTGTGTAGGACTCTGGCATTTTTTCCCTCCTTATCCATCTTCTTTCACTAGTTTCACATTTGGATAGAGTCACGGGGGTGGCCTGACGTCCACTAGTGAGCTCTGAGCACCATGGAGCTCGGTTTCCATTTGCCATAGAATACAGAATTGGCAAGTCCACCACTAGGACCCTGTGTTTTTCAAATATGAGAGCATGTTCACCCTGAGCACATGTGAGAGATATTGGTGGTAGATCAGTGATGGTCTGGAAAGACACATCATTGGAGGGACACGCAGACCTCTACAGGCTGGACATCAGCACCCTGACTGCCATTAGGTATCAGCCCTGCAGGTGTTATTTTTCTGATACAGGCATAGATGTGTAGTGCTGTGAAAAAATATTTGCCCCCTTTACAAAGGGCAGCTTTTAAATGATTCATCCTTAGCAGGGTTGCTGGGAGCTGGAGCCTATCCCAGCTAACATAGGGCAAGAGGCAGGGTACACCCTGGACAGATCATGGTCTGTTGCAAGGCATTCAAAGCTATTTGCAATTTAGAACGACCAGCTAATCTAACCCCATTAATTGCATGTCTTTGGACTGTGGGGGGAAGCCAAAATACCCGGAGAGTACCTACAGAAATACAAAGAACATATAAACTCCACACAGAAAGGCAGAGTTGAACTCAGGAACTTCTTTCTGTGAGGCAATTGCTAATCGCTGTGCCACCATGCTGCCCAGTTGATGATTTCATTTATTAAATGGAAAAAGCTATGCAAACCTAAATGGAACCATGTGGGAAAGTAGCTGCACCCTGGAGCCCTCCTAAACCTTCCATCCATTCATCCATCCTTTTAACCAACCTCCATCCATCACCATTACACCACAGTGTTTTCCTAATGGTGTGGCATTCTTTTTATGAAATGCTGTGTTTGTCATGATTACATTAATACCAAACCCAATGAACAGTGTCAGACGAAGGGCAAACGTTTGCTTATATAGTTCAGGATCAGCGAGGGTGTGTGAGCTGGAGTTTCATTCAACATCAGCGGTGAGAAAGGGTCCGTGAACAGGTAGACGTAGCATTAGTTGATGTTGACAGATTGGGTTCCAGAAATGAGGAGTCGAGCACAGTGGAGGGTGGAGAGTTTCACGGGAGTGAGTCGGAAGGAGGTGAGCAGAAGGAGTGAAGCCATCTGTGAGCAGGAAGGTCCTTGTGGCTGAACAGGTAAATCGTTCTGACAACTGACCATGAGGTGCAGTTAGAGATGGGATTTGATACCAATTCAGCAATTACAATTCCATCATTGATATCATTTATCCATTCGATTCCTTATCGATTCAATTATTGGTTCTCATTGGTTCCACTTTGAGAGTCACCACCAAGTAGCGAAGCAGCATATCAAAGACATTACATTTGTGCAAATTAATTGCATGCTGTGTGGTTAAATGCTTGTGCATGAGGTATTTCCCCTCTTTTTTGAGATCGTACTGCTGCTTAAGTAAAGGCAAAGCGTCTGACAGTATGCAGTCTTGATGGATAATGGGTTGCAGGCAGAGCCCAAGAGAGTAGCTCAGCCCAAAGGTGATGGTTACTAGTGTTGTATCCAAAGTCCAGCTTGTCGATAGAATCTCTTTTCTGTAAGTCTTGAGGCTCATCAAGATGCAAATATGAGATGAGCCTTTGTGTTCTTTTTGGTCAGCAGTTGTTTTCCTTGGAACGCTCGCATGAATGCCATTTTTGCAGAGCCTCTGTTGAATTGTGAATCTGACCTTCCTCCATTCCTGAGCCAGGTCAGGCCTGCAGTTCTTTAGATATTGTTCTGGGTTATTTTGTGACTTCCTGGATGTTCCATCAATGCATTTTATGGGAAGCTCACCATTGTTCCAACTTTATCCATTTGTGGAGCACCATGGGTCTGAGTTCCAAAGCCGTAGAAATGACTTCCTAACCCTCACAAGACTGATAGATGTCAATGACTTTGTTACTTCACTTTGTCACAAAGGTTCTATTGAAATTATTTCTTCATTCACTGGGTGTAGCAGTAATCAGGCCTGAGTGTGGCTAGTGAAATTGAACATAGCTTTCCAAAAAATGTGTGTGTGACTTGTTTAATGTCAGTCTAGATTCTTACACATTTGATCTGATGCAGTGTCATGTATGTGTTAGTCACTAAGAGGCTTCCCCAAAGCAACACGATGCAGTCAGCAAAGCCTTTTGTGAGAAGAGCAGGCAGGTGACTCACACACCTGGTACAGCACTACTTAATAATACTTATCCTTTAAGTCACATGGACACAACTCATGCAGCTACTACTCTCAGATTCCTCAGCACACAGAAATCAGGGTTCAGTACTTTTAAACATTTTGCCTTTCATTTTAAATTGTGCATGTGTTTCTCTTTGTGTGTCTGGGTGGGGGGGCTATAAATGTTTTTATGGTTATATGATGATTTAATAGAGTGTTATCTGCACATTATTTGTGGCCTAATAATTTGGGAGAATTACATTTTAGCTATATCTGACACGATAAATGTATTGTGCATTGACCATGGTAAATAAAATGTGTGTGTGTGTGTGTGTTTGTGTGCATGCGCGCACGTGCCTACAGCCTCAGTAAAGAGCTGCAGCAGAAGGACAAGGTCATTGAGTCTCTCCGTGCCAGACTAAACCAGCATCAGCAGCACCATCATCCTCATCGTTCTGACACACCCTGCAGCGGTCATGCCCTCTCTGATACCACCGACCAATCAGATCGCATCTCTTATGTGTCCGATGAGCATGGATCCACAATTGAGGACCTGGAGTTGAGCTCTGATGTTGATGCTGCAAGTGAGCTTGGTCAGGATGAATCACAGATTTCTGCCAAAGTGAGCACAGGTACGAGTGTTTTTCTTTGTGTTTTTTTAAACCAACACAGTCCAGAGGGAATTCCAATTATGAATATTTGTGTAATTCCATGCAAATGTTACTCATGTGTGAGGAAATTGCAATTGATGATCTGTTTCCAGCAGAGCATTAACCATCATTTTAATGCTCTTCAGAACAAAAGGAGCAAGTCCCGCACTGCAGTTTTGCCATTTGACCTTTGCAGTATCAACTCTTTATCATAAAATGCATAGAATCAGTGTTTTGCAGTGTATGTCTTTTCTTTCCAGATTGTCACCATGGAACAGTGTCACGCCATCCATCTATCCCTCCATCTATCACCTCATCTCACAGAACCCAGTCCTGTCATAGCTGCTCCAGCATGCAATCCACCAGCTCCCAACACACAGGCATGCAGAGTCAGACAGGTAGGAAGGACCCCAGAAAATGTCCTTCAGCTCATGTAGATAGGAACTGCTACTTGCTGTATCTTTCTTTATTCTTTGCTTTTTTGTGTCTGTCTATCATATTTACCTTCCCCTTTTCTCCCAGCTCCTGTCTCAGTTTTCAGCCCTACTTCCTTTCACACTTCCCCCACTTCCTCCACCCAGAAGACACGCTTGCCCTTCCATCCTCGCCCTTCCAACCTGCGAACCCGTTGCCAAAGCAGTGGGGGTATGGGTTTCTCCCTGACCGAGGTGCACCAGGAGCTGCAGATGTTACAAAGGCAGCTGGCAGACAAAGGCAGTGCGTCATGTCTGTGCATGCTTTTGTGCTTGACCCACTTTAAACTTAACAAATTCAATGGAGTGTGCAACCAAGAACTGATTCCTTCCAGAAACAATCCTTTGAATTTCTTTTCAAAATTAAGCAGCTGCTGGTGAAATAAAATGGATTTAGTCTGCCTAAGAGTAACGATTACTCAATAACTGTTGAATGCTTCAGAAGTCTGAATCATTAGAAATGATTTAGACTTCTACGGGGGATCTTTTTGGACCCTATGACACAACCTACATAAGATGGCGATGTCATTGGCCGCATTTATGCTTGTGCTGGTGCATTATATGGTAATTAGTGCCCCATAAAATACTGGGGCATGATGCAAATGAATTACTTTGTATTGTTTACTTTCTAAAAGATATGTGGGGGATTTGTTAGATCAGCTAAAGGCTGATTTTATGATCTAATTTGGTTGCAGATCCTGAATTTCTGACATTTTGTGTGTCTTAATAAAGAGCATCACATAATTAGAGCACATAACTTTGATAGCAACAGCCATCTACATTACATTTAGTTGTACTCTACTAATTTCTTGAGCATTTGTTGCCTCTGAATTGTACACTATAATAAAAGTTATAAGATGGCTTCTTGTAGTTAAGCAGAGAGGGAGCTGACCAGCTTTAATAATTCATTTCTCCCCAACTGCCTTTGTCTTTCTTCTCACTGTCATCCCTTTGCCTTTATCTTTAACACACTGTACTTTCTTACTCATTAAGCAACTGTTCTGCGCTTGATGTTTAATGAAGCCAGAGCCTCCAGCTGGAGAGGGATTTGCTGTGATCTTAAAACACCGATGGGCATTAGAGCTTTCAGAAAGCCCCAACCAGACAAATTTCATTTGGCTGATTAACAAACTTGCTCCCGATGTCAGGAGAAATCCCTTCATCTTGCTCCTGGTCTCTCTAAGACACACACACAAAGCAGACCATGTATTTACGCAACATATAAGCTATCCGCTTTTCCTTTAGTTGTTTCCTTAAATCTTCTCATCCTCTGCAGGGTTTTCTACTCCTCAAGCCAAACCGCTTCAGGGTTTCCCATTTGTCTACCAGCAGCCGGACTCCTTTGACTTACTGCCTCTCTCCTACCAAGGATTCCAACCTTCTCCTTTCAGCAGTGCTGCTAGCAACAGTAGTCTGGATGCCAGCTTGACAATGAAAGCTGGGGCTAGCCTCCTGGAAAGCAGTGCATTGTGGGATGTGAGCTATGGAAATCGAGCAGTGAGAACTGGAGCTGACCTGTCATCAGGATCCTCGGGGTACCAGTCAGGCAACAGTCACACAGGTAAAGCTTTAATGTGCCCGATGATTTCTCTGATTTCTGGGTGTTTATGTTAAAAATGTTTAGAAAATTGTTCAATGTTTTGTATGTTCCCTACTGACGCTAGTGCCTGGGTATGCTTATGTAATATCAGTTTTTAGCAAACTTGTGTAGTAAATTAGTCTAAACTGTATTTCCTCAGCTGAGGCATTAAAAGCACATTTTTATTCTTATTTTCTTATAGCCTTAAAAGAAATACCAAAAAAAACCCAAGAATTGCATAACACTGAGCTGAAATTAGTTTGGAATATTTGTTTGTAAAAGGGTCAAAGACGAGATGTTATAGGTTTGTCATAAGTTTTAAAAACTCCAGAATTTTCAGATGAATATAATAAAAGCTCGGCTTCTGAATTATTCTTTCATTGTGCTGATGTATTACGAACAAAGCATTCAATACATCAGGCTGTGAATGCACCTTCAGGCAACTTTTGTTGTAGTGCTATAAATAAAATCAAATTGATCTGAAACATATTAAATGTTTTGTGAGCACTGTGTTGCAAATGATCTCAAATTTTAAATCATGTATAAGAAGTTTTGTTTTATTGAACATGGATTAAATATGCAATGACATTTGAAAGGGTTTAGTTAAACACACATCCAGACATGTTTGGAATTAAAATACTCAAAAATAGCCAGTGCATGAAAAACAAACCAAAAAACAAAAATATGGTTATTGTCACTTGTTAAGCCAGCTGTGAGGGATCAGTCGCTGTTTTTGACAATAAATGATCTTTTTCTTGCCTTATTAGTTTATTAGGTGAGCGTGATTGGTGATTTCACAACAGACACTCACTCTGCACTTTGTCTGCTACAGGTTCAGACCTGATGAAGGAGCACTTGAGGGAAATCAGGAGTCTGAGGCAGAGACTGGAGGACTCCATCCACACCAACGACCGTCTCCGACAACAGCTGGAGGAGAAACTGGCCCGAACCACCACTGAGAAAGGTAACAGAGACAAACGGACACACTGTTCGTGTTATCTGCAGGGCTCAAAGTTTTGAAAAGCATTGAATTTAGTCCTGACAAAATATGTTATCGAAATTTTATTGCTTTAAATTGAATTTACAAAGATGTTTTTTTTCTGTCATTATTTATTATTTATTTATTATTTTTCACTCCTCTGTCTCTATCTCCTCCAAAGGTGCTCCTACCAATATTTACATCCAGGGACTGGAATCAGTCAACCAGCTTGCCAGTGAGATTAGACTTCTAAAAGAGGAAAATGTTAGTCTACAAAATCAGCTGAAGCAGGTTACCAAAGGTACAGTATAATGTTTACTACCATGTCATAAGCTCAAGAGTCATTATTTATATTATTTATTCAGAATGTAAATGTGAGTCTTAAATGTCCCTGCCTGAAATCAGACAAAAAAGTTCAAAATCAAAATATCCACTCTGCTCTGTTGTTATGTATCATGCAGAGAGCACTAAGGAGGCAGAGCAGCTGAGGGAGGTGGCGCTCCAGGAGCGTTCCAGGGTGAAGGAGGTGGAGCTAGAGGCTGAGAAGTGGGCAGAGCAAACCAGGAAGCTCCAAACTGAGGCTGAAGCTCAGAGTCAGGAGATGTTACACCTGAAACAAGACAGACTGAGGAACCAGGAAACCGTCAACAGGTAGTCTGTTTGTTTCTCTCATTGGAATACTTGGAGTCTAACACTTTTTAGACATTTTAGTGGGACTATTTTGAAGGAAACACATATCTTAAAGAAATCATAGGTAATAAATAACATGATTTCATGCATTGTATGAAATACCTCAGGCTCCAGCATGAGTTGACTGTTCTCCGGCAGCAGCTTTGTGAGAGCCGCAGTTTGGTCCATTCTCTTCAGTGTGAGCTGCAGGTGTATCGCAAAAAGGGGAGAGTCACCACAAATGCGCCCACTGGTAAGAATCAACACACAGTCGCCTGTTCAGATCAGTGAGCGGCTTTAACTCGATGTAGTGAAGAAAAGCATCCATCCATCCATCCATCCATCCATCCATTTGTCTTTACTGAATTCAGAGACATTGTGGTCCTGGAGTAGCAGTCAAGACGCAAGATACACCATGGACATGTGGCCAATTTATCGCAGGGCAGGAAAATGAGTAATGCAAAATTTCTCTAAGTATTCTAGAAGTAATATTTTTAATTCTAAACATGGTGCACACACAAAACTGTGCTTAAACAGTGCATAGAAACACGCACGTATCGAGAATTCATCAGTATTTTCCTACATGAATTTTTTAAATACTTTATAAACAAATTTAAAACTTCCCCAGACCACATGTATACCAGTCTGTCTTATGTTTTAAACTTGTTTTGGCAATTAGTTTGTTTTCCAGAACAATGTAAAAAAAAAATCATAGAGTTAAATAACAATAAAGAATTTAAATGTAACGTACAACATAAACGATTGAGCTTTAGCTAATATACCTAACACTAAATGCTTAGCATAATAAAGCTGCATTCACTAAAAAGACTTGCATATTGGCTGGATGTCATCAATGGCATTCATTTCTTACCAGTTTGCTACTTCCCAGTGGGCTGGAGGCTCTCCATCTCCTCCACCTGCTTCCTTCTTATGCTATCTTATTTTTCTTCACATCATCTCTGATGTCAAACCTTTTCACTTTATATCACAGAATATTTTGTCATACAGCATTCAAAAATAAAAGTAGAAAAACATTGCACATGTTTCATTAATCAGACCAAAAATTCTGCATGCACACTTATTTTGTTTGGATAATTTTGCCTATATTAGTGAATGAACCCCACTGGCATCAATCACTATTTTCCAGGTGGGTATTTTTTCTATGAGCTGCCATTCGTAAAAGACGGCTGCTGGAATTATGTTTCTGTTTAGGAATGCAGTCATATGAAAACTGGTCCATGTGTGTGTTTTGTGAACTTAAAAATTTCTTCCTTGTGAAAATCATCGAATGTGTCACTTTTCTGAAGTTACAATGAGGACCTGCTTCTTTTCTCAATCCCACGCTTGTCTACTTTCTTTGTTAATCACCAGTATTTGTGTGTTCTCTAACAGGTCAAGGCAGTGACAGCACAACAGTCTTTGATCCCAAAGACCTGCACATTCAGCTGGAGCAGCAGCTGAGCAGAGAAGCTGACACGCAGCCTCAAGCCAGGAGGCAGCTCTTCAGCGGTCAGTATATCTGAAACACATAGACTGTTTCTGAAAATCCTGACAAATATGGCAGATCATAGCACTACAATTACAAAAATGTTTTAACAAGGAAACTTTAAATCAGTACTGATGGGAATCTGTCTCCACAGATAGCGTTCCCTCTCCACCTGTGAGAGACACTGGACTTTTCAGTCCTTCCTCTCCTTTGCATGCTATGCAGAAACACACAGAAGAAACTGGAGCAACTGATCAGGGTGAGAGATTTCAAGCAGCACTTGCACTGTGACTATGCAATCCTACCCATAATAGTCATAACTTTAAGCATGAAAACATTATTCTGCAAGCTTTGTTCAGGTATCCCTCAGTGTGAATAATTTTACATGAAACCAGAAACTATTAGCAGTTGGCTATGGGGAACAATATCTCTGAGCAAAAAAGGAAATAACAGTAACTGTATGTTTTGAGTCCACATCCACAATTCTTTCAAATAATAACTCCTTGCTTCATGTCACTGATAATGTGTGGTTATTGCACATCCTCCTGGCTTAAGCCTGGCTTAAGTTTGAACCTGTAACTTTAGGCATTTAAAGCTTCTTTTTTATGTGGGATTTCTGTACTCTTAAATCAAATAAGTGAATCCATAGAGAGAAGACTGCACTGGACACAGTTCTTTCGTTTTCCTTTCCAGCAGGCTCAACCCTGCATGGACATCGCACAGATGGCTGTTTTTATAACTGTCATGGCCGCCATGCAGTGGGCCACATTGATGACTTCAAAGTTCTGCAGCAGCACATCCTCCAGGGAAGTGCGCTCCTCCTTAAGATGGAGACTGCTCTTTATTCTCTGAGCACCTCACAGGAGTTCTCCTTTCATCAGGTAAGAGCTCAAATCTCTTTTTATTCAATATAACTTGAGATTCATTTACTAAATGATGGTCCTCATTAAAGTCCAGAGCTGATAAGATAAAAATTATTAGTGCCTTGTAATAGGGGGTGGTCTCTGGAATGTGCTGTCAGGTCTGTAAATAACTTTTTCTCATAACAGAAGCGACGCGAACAAGTGCCGCAGCCCTGGCGAAAACCTCTCATACATAAATAGAAATAAATATATTCAGAATTAATGCACATTATATTGACTTCATGCATTTTGTGTTCCAGCTTTCAGACTGGGGTTCTGTTCAGAAGCTGCTGCTGGACACTAAAACTCTGCGGCAGATACTGGATGAGGCTGAGTCTCTGCTTCGCGTGTTCTGGAGAGCAGCTCTGCCCAAATCTGAGGAAGTCCAACAGGTCAGAAAAGTATTTCCTGGTGTCACAGAGAAAATCTGATTTGGGATTTTAAAAACGAGAGACCAAAATCACTGTATTACTATTTTTTTCTCGCCACGCATGATTTCTTTTCTCAGCATTAATACATAAATAGAGAAGTGGAAAAAATATTTCTTGATAAAAGTATTTACTAAAATTGACTAAAATGTTCAGTTTAATGCAAAACAATGTGTTACAACAGGACCAGTGTAACACTGGATGTGGGCATTTGTATCACTGAAAAAACTCAATTAAAAGCAGACTTTGACATATTACATTGCTGCTATAATATGTAATCAATTAGTGTTTTAAACCTATATAAAAAAATATATATATATCTAATTTGCCACTTTTAGATCCAACTCCCATTAAATGTGAAGTTTATATAACAGAAACATTCAGCTCAAAATCATTTTTTTAAACATCTGTCAGGGTTAAATGATCCTGCTCCTTTTCCTCAGGCTCTCAGAAAGAATCACACCACCCTACACAGAGTAAGTTTCACTACGTAAGCTTGTTGCTGATAGAAAAACATGAGGGTGATACAGTTGCCCCCTGTGAGGTGAACCCTGTTAGGTGCCTTTGCACATACTTTACTTAGAAGTAAAAGATTCATTAACTTTTCCCCAAAGATTAAAGGAGCTGGATATGAGTAAATAAACAGATTTTATGCAAAAATGTATCATTTACTGCAACTGCTGCACCTGCCTTTGTTATTTCAGGTTGTACTCGCATGTTCTGCATGTCAGTGTATGCATCTACAAGAGCTTAGAGAGCCATCTACCTGTCTTTTGCTATTTAGGATCAGTCTCTGAGGGAGGAGGTCCTTTCTCTCCGTCTGAAGCTCTCAGAGCAAGAACAGGCTCTAAAGGACACAATGGAGAGAGTCAAGAGCTCCAGCGGCACCAAAGATAGCATGGAGCACTTTATAGTCAGCCAATGTGAGTACACATTTCCAAAAAACTCTAATAGCACATGTAAAACCATGTGTTAAGTGTAGAGAGGCTCTCGTCTCTTTTTATTGGCTACACTTGGTATGAACAGATTACGGGCGGGGCTTCTGTGGTCACAGCTAGAGTTGCATGCCAAAGCTGGCAATAAAAGGGGTATGGGAAACGATAAATTGTCCGGTACTTTCTCATTTCTAATAAAGCACTCAAGGTGCTTTTTACTACAAGCCTCGTTCACCCAGTAACACACACATTCATACAAGTTATTGTCAAAATTTTCTTTAGCGCATTTTTTAACAGAGAAAGGGATTTTCAACACAGCATTTCTAAATATAATTGGTTTTTTTAATAAAGCATACAAAATTTCTATTTAAGCTCAAAGCTTGTAAAATCAAGTTAAAACTGAGATCTATATACATGGTGTTTTCAAGAACTGGAGTGACAAGAGAGAGTTCAAAGAGAGGCACACGGTACAGAACAAGCCTGGTGGAGGTAGGAAGTGAAATTCAAAGAAAACTAGTGAGAGGTGTATCTAAAGATCCCTGAACAGCTGCCAAGATACCAGTGAATGACTTTACCATCGAGAGAAACACGCCAGTCACTTTCCAAGCTCTTTCGGAGGGAGACAGGAAGTTGTGGATGGAGGCCATGGATGGAAAAGAGCCTATTTATCATTCACCAAGGAAAACTCCAGGACAACCTGGAGAAAGATTATATATACTAGAAGCACATCCTGCTAATGATTGAAGAGGCGTACAACCCAAAAACACCATCCTCACAGTGAAACACGCAGTGGGCTGTTTCTTATATAGTGTTTTTCTACTCCACCTGAGTACTAAAAGCACTTTACAAAACTTGCCTCATTCACACAAAGTTAGGATATTTGGCATGTACATAGACTGAAGCAGCCAGGCATCGAACAACCAACCTTCCAATGGGTGGGTGATGTGGGAATATTGTCAGAATGTAAGAAATCATGAAGAAAGAAGCATATGTGAAGATTTTGAAAGAAAACCTCAAGCAGTCGGCAGAAAAACTCGATCTAGGTTGTCACTTTGTTTTCCAGTGAACATTATCGACTCGCCTGCACAAACTCCTGTTTTGAATATCACTGAAAACTGTGGGGTGTTGAAGACCAAGGTTAATGGCAAAAGACCATCAAATCTGGAGGAACTTGAGAAATTTGCTAAGATGATGTGTGTGAGACAACAAATGACTGTTATCCAGCAAAGGGATGCACATTTGACTATTAGCATCGAACACTTTTGAACTTGCGAAATAGTTTGGCTCCTGTGTCCAAAGTAAAATACTGTAAGCATCCATAATAAAACGAGAATGTTTGGAAAAGCTGTGTTTAAAAAAATCCTTCTCTATTTAACAGCACAAACAAAATACTTTTAAATTGGGGATCAAACCACCAACCTTCTGATTAGTGATGATGGGCTGCACCTCCTGAGCCACAGGTGCCTCGTATGGCAAGACTTTCTTGTTCATAGAGTCTGAACTGGAGCATTTACGAGAAGCCTGAGATTTTGACTCTGAGATTACTTTGTATTGTCAATAATCATGTGTAATCATCGTCATGTGTAATGTTTTCACCGTTGTTACAGTTTGTGTCAGAAAAAGAAATGATGATGATTGTATGTTTTTGTTTTTTACAGTGTTGAGAACACGCGATGTCTTGAGAAAAGCCAAGACCAACTTACAGGTCAGTTCACTCGTTGCCTCATATTAATCCTGGTTTTGGTATCATTATCCACAATGAGTGTTGTATTCCCATAAGTAAGAACAACTAAGTGGGTGGATGATGACGTCCCTCACACTTTTGGTCATTAGAAAAAGATGTTTGTTTTCTTTACCTTTCCTCCTCTATCCTGTCTCCTACTGAGTGTCCTCAGGAGAATGAACTCAGGATTTCTTCCCTGCACCAAGCTCCTTTTCCCATTCCTCCTTCTCCTCCCCTACTCCTCTCCTCCTCTTATTCTTCCTCATCCTCATCCTCACAACTCTGGCCTGGTAAAGGTACAGTCTGGCGTGTTGGGTGGTGAAGCTGCTTGCTTTTTGATTAAGAACCTACAGTATATATCAAAAATGTTTGCATGTAGCCAGTAAAGCCACTTAAATACTACATAATCATGCAGCATGTAAGGCTGACTGAGATACTACTAAACAGGTAAACAGCATACTTGTATGTAAAAGACTAAGCAAACACTAACACGTTGCTTTCCTTGCTAATGTTCGTCTTTCTTGCTAATCATCATTTGGACAAAAACGATAACTAGTCACGTCAGTTTGCTTACTAGAAAAGCAAATAGTGCAGTGAGACCATACTGAGCAGTTTAAGAATGTGGCCTCTAGTCCTTACTCAGGATTACTATTTCTTTTGATTCTGTTATCAAGTAATAGGTGCAAAGAAATGCAATGTCTGGTGGAGATGAACCAAAAATATATATTTTTAAAACAGTAATTTTTAACTGCAAAAGAGATTATTGGGCGTTATATGTGGTTACTGCTATACTTACTTTTATACACATACATTTTTTATGAACTCAAATTGATATAAATGTCTAATACCACTGGCTGAGCAATAGGTTGGTTTTGCTCTGCATATGTGCATTTTGAGGGGACAAAGGAAAACTGATAAACAGCAATCAGAAGCTTAACAAAAAGAAATAGTAAAGTTACCTACAAGTGTAACATTTTAAATTATATACAACTTACATTTAACAGGTGGTGCATAAATAAGATCCACTCCATAGAAACCTCCTGGATCTCTTGTCAACTGTCTTTCAGGTGAAATCTCAGGCGGACGCTTCTGTGAGCTCAACATGTCTCCTGGTCGGAGTGTCATGAAGCCCCAAACTTCACCCTGTAGCTCTTCCTCCTCTCCTGCCCAGGGATGGACTCACCACCAGCTCCCCCTGCAGGAAGTCTTCCTGTAGCTCAGAGTTCATCATCACTGCCATCTCCGGCTGTGTTATTGTATTATTTGTATCAATGGTATAATTTGTGCAGATGTTTGCAGGATTTTCCTGGAGGGAACTCAAAGGTTTTTTTGTTCATATGAGATAAGTCTCAGTTTGGCTGAAGCTTGTTTATGATTCATAGCGTCTGTCTGATGCGGTCTTTTTGCATTATTACTATTAAACCAAATTTAAATAAGAATAGAACTAAATTGAAAACGGTTTGAAAACTTTTAGATTCATCAGCAAATTAATCAGCAATTTCTGGAGGATGCCCTTGACTCACAGTTTAAAAGTGACAAATCAGGAAGGAGCTTCACCTTTGTTACTTCAGCAGGGATTTTAAAATGCAAAAAATGTGTTTAATGCCAGCAGGAAAAGGGAGAGTTAAAGAGCAAAATCCAAAGTGCTTCCTCTTAGCCTCTGTTGAGGCTCATGTTTGTAGTCAGTGTGTAGAATTACATGCATGTGGTGTGAGCGTTGTGATAAAACAAAGCCATACTCCCCAGAGGTAGTTATGTTTTAGTTTTGTCCTAATATCCCAATGAAAAAAGAACATAGAACCATCAAAAGACATGCAGTCGGTCGTGTAGCTGGTAGATGATGTTCTTACTTTCAAGTAACACAGCAGCTTAGTGTCACTGATTCACCGTTCACCCTCCAACTTCACTTTTTCTGTTAGACATGGAAACAATCTTTCCTTTGTCTTTAGATAATTTAAAATGGGGGAATGGCATCATCAACTTGCAGGCTTGATAAACCTTGTAAAAAAGATACTTGTGAGATACATTTTAATAAATGGTCCAGAAAGGATGACAGTTCATTTTTGTAACGATTAAAAAAAAACAAAAAACCATAGCATCTCTTTTTTTCTTCTTCGTCAACTTCTTTTGTTGTTTTTTTTTAAAAAACAAAACTTTTTTTTCTATGTTTATTTTTTGTTTTTAGCTAAATTTGTCAGTATCTGTGTGTTTTAATGTTTTGTCACAGCGATATTTAAAAAAAGTAAACACGTCTCTGGAAGCGTTTCCTTTGGAAGAGGTTTTGTAACACTCACAGTTTATTTTATTTCATTGGCTCCTCTTGTGTTTATTATTATTATTATTGTTTAGTTTGTTTTCGTGACTTTTTTCTGTTTTGTAGGTCACCTGTTTTGTTTTGTGCATGAACTGTGGCTTTACTGCCCTCCAATACTTTTACTGAAAAATGGAAATTCTGGGGTTACTGTGCAATACATAGCTCTGTGTTTCTTTGCTTTTGTTTTTAAGCTTGAGTGTTAAAGTGCCATGTCAACGGTTTTAATTCTAAAACTGAACTGATTTAAGAAAAATATTTGTTAGATGAATGCATGTGACAATCAGTATGAAGCACTTTTATTGGCCCAGGCATTTTTAACTGTCTAAATCACATAAAACAGCACTATACTGTAGGAGTGTAGTTAAGAAGCAATAAAATGAACCAAAGTAGACAACTTGCATGTTGTTAAATCAGGTTTAAAAGAGATTAAACAGTTTTGGACTGTTTTCCCTTAGAGGTCAAAGGTCAAACTTGGTTTGTTTTGTTTCTTTTAGTGTTAGAGCTGTTTTAGGAGCCACCCTTCATATATGTGCATATTAACGGTAGTATGTACATCAGAGAGAAGAGATGGTCTTTGGATGAAGGCCATTTGTATTTTTAAGACTGTTCTCTTTATTAAAATGTTTTGTGGTGAAGATCTTTCCAATAAAAGGGGACAAAAATATCTGTCATGTTTGTTGTTTTCTCACGTTATACTACATGTTTTTTATTTTGTTCACCTTAAGCACAGCCTTGCAAATACAGTGAGGGTTTCTTTATACTGTACACTTCATAAACCGTGTTTAATCAGCGCTCAAATGCTGTTCAAAATAAAAACAAAACAGAATAACAATAGATGTACATGTGACTTACACAAAATTACAGAATACTTTCAAGTGTCACTAGCTTTTCTCTTTTTAGATCAACAATATTAAATGCTGATTATAAGATCAACAATAAGCAAGAAAAGCTATAAAAGCAGGAAATGCAAATACAAAATGAAAGCAGAGGCATAAAAATTTAAAGATTAAAATTTTAAAACTCTTAAATTAAAAAGTGATCATACATGTTAAATTAAAGAAGACATGATGCACAGAAAATATGAGTTGTTTCCTGTTATGTTTTGAAATTTATGAATTATTTTATACTAAAGAGTAAGGGTAAACTCACTGGCCATTTCTTTAGTTACACTGAGTTGAACTCCATATTGGCTTTGTGACAAAGATTCAACAAGGCACTGGAAACACTCTTTGGACTTTGTTGTCTATACTGACCATAATATGGAGTTGTGGTCAACTGAATGGGAAGCTGACAAATTTGCAGGCCAGCTACACATCCATAATGCAAATATCCAATTCTACTACACCCCAAACGTATCTCGAATGGATTAAAACGCAATGACTTGGGAGGTCATTTGAGGAAAGTGATAGTAAAGTTAGTAAAGTAAAGAACCTTTCAAGACAAAAATCACATAGTGCTTCTCAAAATATCAGAGCATTAAAAAAGAAAAATGGTAAATTATCATGATCTCGTTGTCATATTTAAAATTCAGTTTGAGGTTATTTGAATGTGTTATCCTTCTGAATGCAGCCATCAGAAGATGGGTACACTATGATCAGAGAGGGATGGATATGGTTAGCAACAATACTCAGTCAGACATTTAGAGTAAATGATGCTGACATACAGTGTGCCAAGAAAATGTCCCCCACATTACACCACCAGTCTAAACTACTGGTACAAATAGGATGGATACTGGCATGCTTTTATTTTTTTTATGCAAGATAAACTAAATGAAAGCATCTGTATGCTGCAGCAGAGTTTGAGATCCATCAGCCCAGTCAATGTTATCCTACTCAGCACAGGAGTGACAGCTGGTGCGGTCTTCTGCTGCTGCACAACCTGAACTTCGGCAAGTTGTCTTGACCATGACTGTAGGACTAAATGGACTGAGTTGCTGACGTGTGACGGGCTACTTAGATCTTTGCATTAATGAAACACTGAACAGGTGTACCTGGTGAAGTTTAACAGTGAAAGATAGAATAAGGCTACTGTGGAGATAAAAGAAAATCTGACTGTCATATATATGGCACAATTTATCAAAGTATTGCCATGTGGTTTAAATACAAGGATGTCAAAGTGACAAGAAAGCTATATATGAAACATTAAAATATACATCACTTTATAAGCCTATCTGTTTATTTCACGGTCTCATTAAACATACACACAGAAAACACATACGAAGCAGTTTAGTTGTTAATCAATAGGTGGCAGCAAACAACAACAAACCTCGTGGAATTGTTTCACAGCCCCAACACTACGAGGATGCAAAAGCAAGTCGGTATATGTAAAGGAATCAGTATAAGGTGTCTGAGTCTGTGAGTGTGCTTTTAAATTTTAGAAAAAAAAAGTTAATTTCTTTCATGTGTCTGCATGGATTTTTTTTATAATCGTCATCATCTTTTTTTTTTCCAAAATCAAGAAATCGTCTAGCAAGCGGAGGGTGTAGATGAGCTTGAAACCAGAGGTGTGAAGGGGATTAGGATTTCAAAATAAAACCTTTTGCACTTGCGCAAATTGCGAAAAATGACAGACATAATATAACGGCATATTGACTTCAGTATATTGCATCCAGGATAAACAAAAATATATTTTCTTCTTTTGAAATGGCAGTAGAGTATATTTGTCTTCTTTTACCACGACAGTTACCGATATCACATTGCATTGTCAATGTTCAAATTTCACTCACATCAGGAAAATCCCAAATTATTATAATTATTATGTAAAAGAGATCAGTGGTTAGTGCCACTGGGATCTTTGATCTCAGTGAGACTAACCTGGTTAAATTAATAAATACAATTTAATAATTATTATTATCGCTTCAAAGTAAGTGAATGTTATCCCCATCTGGTTTATTTTCTATGACTACAAAGACGTCAAAGATTGAACACTCTGGGAGAGACAAAGAGGTTATCACTAATATTTTTTTTTAATAGTCATTGCATTTTTATTATTTATATATTTATTTGTTTAGTAGTTAGTTAGATAGATAGGATTTGTTTTTTGTTTTTTTATTACATGTGGATTCCTGTTCTTTCTTGCATACTTTTATTTTGGTATTAATGGACCGGATGTTGTATTCCTGCTAACCTGACACCCCAGCAGTCGTGTCAGAGCCAGGAAACAAGCTGAGCTGTACCGTGTCGTTGCAGTTCAACAGCGAGGTTAACTCAGTGTTCGCAGAGATCAGCCTTTATGTGAGGATGGGCGAACACCGAGACATGATGTATGTCGCCTAAGAAGTCACCAGACAGAGACGGAAGACGTGGAGCTCTTGGGGAATCATCTGGAAGCGTTAAGAGGGAAGGTAGACCTGCCAGGGTGTCACGGTCTTTCTGGGCAGGTAGACGTTATCAGGCAGTCAGACTAGCCGCTCAGCTAGTGTTTCAGCGGCAAGACGCTAGCTTAAATCGGGTTGAATGAACTGTTGCCACAGACGGCACAAAAAAGCGCAGCGCGGATACATTTTTTTCTAGAAATATAAAGCTATCCCTGTGAAAAGCGCACACTGCCCTTTTATTGTTTTCAAGGAGACACCGGTGGCTGCTCATGCAAGAAGGCTGATTGACAGCTTGTCACAACGGGTTTTCCAGATGTGGAGTCAGCACAAGAAGTGTAGCCGGGCTCTGAGTCGGGAATGGCTGGCCGGAGCAAACTCATAGGTGGAATCGCAAGTCAACAAACTGCAACACCAAGCCATGCATTTCAGTTTGGCGCTGAGGTGTCCCTGAAAACCACAGCAGCCGACCTGACACGTTGTTCTAGCCAGCTAAGTGAAGTTACCGAGAGGATACTGGAAACTGCACAGGAAAGCGGGTGAAGTGGTGCAATCCGGCGCGCGATAGAACTGTTTCTACAGCCAGTATGAAGAGGACGGAGAATAAAAACAAAAGGAAACTCTGCAGTATGGAGCAGCACGACAGTGGAGGAGAGGAGAAAGATGCGGTGAGTAGTAAAAGCCTTTCGATACTCCTTGCTATGTCAGGAGGACGTGTCTCGTTCCCTTGTGAGTTCATGAGCCCACAGAAATCGCTAGAAACCCCTTAAACAGCGACGTCCTTTGCTTTCGGTACCTTTATGCAAAACCATTTTTCTTAGTAGTTCTGCAATGTGGACCTTTTTCCAGAACTTTCCTAATAACTATGTTTTTTGGCTTAGATGAGTTAATATATGCCATCATAATTAGTTGCTATTGCTAGTAGTTATAAAACTGTCTGTAAGCATGTAGTCACACAGCAGTGAGGTTGTGTGAAAAATGAAGCAGTCAATATAGAATAAACAAGCAGTTATGATGTCCGTCTGTTTCATCAGCGTACTACTAACGAACAGTTAATCCTCTCAGGAAATATACGCTTTCAGTAAAACATGTACACAGATGCTCTGTCCCTGCAGCTCTACATGTTTGAAAGACTCATTCCCTAATGGAGAAAAGGGACCTAATTCAGGAGCTTCACAGTTTTTGCTCAGTCAGTGTGGATGCTGGCTGTTTCCTACTATGGTAGGTTGTATACATTCTTTGGTTTGTCAGACGAAGGCATGTAGTCTGGAGTCCTGAAGAAGACTAAAGTGTACTCTAGCAGTAAATCTGCGCTTTGTCAAAGAGTATGGATTTTGGATTTGTTGTAATTTATCAGTAAGTAGAAGTAATCCACCACCAACTAACACCAAGTTATCCATAGTGGGCTCATTACTTGGTGTTATTTGGCCTTGTGCTAATCTATTCAGTGCCCAATTTGTTCAACATGTAGTTGTAATGCCAGTCTGGGATACCTGGGAAACCTA